TTCCATATTGAGAATGGAAACAGAAATCACCTCTTTGTAACCCTTCTAGGGACTGCTCTCTGACTGTCTGAAGAGTCCCAAAAAAATCTGTATTGTTTTTACACAAGAGAAAATCTGAATCTAGCAAAATGTTAAAAGCAGGTAGCCTGCATTGTTTATATGTGTTTATACATGTTAATAACTTCTCCCTCAGATCCTATAGAAGAAAGGAATTATGATATATTCTTTAAAGTATCTCAAGAAGGAAGATAGAAGAGGTGCAGAAGCTTTGCCAAGCTCATGTGTAGGAAAGGAAAATAGAAGCACTATCTCATCTTTTCAGTAAATGGTTTGACCCTGAGGTCAGTCTCTCTCACATCCATGTGACTAGCTAAACTCCACGTGAAGCAAAAAAAAATATTACTATTTAAGATTAGATGAACACAGAAATTAAACTGTAGCCTTAAACTTGCTAAGAAATATCAGGTCATGTAGAGATGGGTGTACATGTGGGCTTGTTCAAAGAAATGCCCAGCAGAGGCATGCAATGGATCTCAACGAGACTCACAAGAAAATACAGAATAAAGGTGGTTATAAAATGAGGAGATAAAAACCTAAAAAAAGACTATTTAGTCTCTGTAGTACAAAAAGAGAATGACTAACTTTAAAACCAAGGTTCTAGAGCCACCTCACATTTGAATAGGATGAGCAGCATTATCTAGAGTTTGAATTTACCCAGAAAGTAGGTTGCGCAAACTTCTTGAACATATATATTTTGCCTTATAGAATTTAGAACTCAACAGTAAGCACTCTGATGGTTCCATTAGAGTAAGTCTTAGAAAACTGGAAGCTTTCTGTCTATCTAAATACCCTAGATTAAGTGAAGAATGGGAATAGTCTGGAGAAGTTAACTTATAGACAATACGTCTCAGGAAAAAAAAAAAAAGTTGATATACCTAGCATTCCATTCACTTCTAAGAATTTACAAGAAAACTTTGATTATCTTTTCTGTTTTTTTTGTTTTGTTTTGTTTTGTTTTATTTTTAGAGGTTTTTGCTATAGGGTGCGTGCACTCACCAGAAAGACAGAGAAACAAAGTGAGAAATCAACCCCTGGGGGGATGACCACACCACAATCCCTTCTCCTCCATTCTTCTCTCAGGATCTTGGGCACACAGACACATGCGGCGACCATGAGTTTAAGCCACTGGGACTGGGACTTGAACTGTGGTCGACTACGTGGGAGTACAACAACATAGTCATTATGCCAACTGCTGGTCTCAACTTTGAATATCTTGATAAAGTATTCTGGGTTATATGGCAGAATCATTTGTGTACCTTATGTATTTAACATAGTAGCATACAAACTCTTCAAGGCAACAAGCTCTTTCAGATTTAATAATCCAGAGCAATATCTGACATATAGCAGTTAACACCAAAAATTTGTTGTTATTATTATTACTTCATAAAGGTCTTTCCAAGACTCTGGATCATGAGGGTTTCTTTCTCAGTGTCTCTCTGCTGTCTCTCTCTCTATTTATCTATCATCTATCTACCTATCCATCCATAAATATCCGTAGATATAGATGTATGTATATACATTTGTATGTATGTATGCCTGTATATACTTATACTTGCACCTATATTTATAATACACATGTTTACCAAGTCATTTATATTTTAGAAATAAAATTCATGGGACCAGCAAATGGTGTAATAGTTATGTCACTGGACTCTCACCGTGGTTCAAGTCTTGGATCCGGCTGCTAAAAACTCATGCCAGGTGCATGTGCGTGCATGCCCAATGTCCTAAGAGAAGAGTGGAGGAGAAGGGACTGCAGTGTGGCCATCTCCCCAGGGGGTGATTTCTAACTTTCTGTATCTCTATCTCTTTCTGTCTCTCCAGCAAACACATGGGCCCTATAGCAAAAAAACCTCTCTCTCTCAATAAATAAATAAATAAATAAATATATTTTTTCTATATATTTATATATAGAAAAATAAATAAATATATATATATATATGTCTATATATTTATATATATAGAAAGAAAGAAAATTTATAATACTTCCTTTGAACTTCTAGGACTTATACTGGTCTTGCTATGTATTCATCAAGTGATGAAGCTTTAGTCTATAGGCATTAAAAATATTCTGTACTTAAATACTATCTATGGTTTTGTACAGTTATGTTAGACCATAGTGCTGTTAATTCTTCATCAATAAATGATGTGGGGGCCAGCAGATAGCACAGTGATTAAGGCACTGAACTCCCATGTGGTTGATGGCGGTTCAAGTCCAAGACCCAGCAGTTGAAACTCACACCGAGTATGTGTGTATGCATGCCCCAAATCTTGAGGGGAGAATGGAGAAGGAATTGTGGCATGGCCATTCACCCTAGTGGGTGATCTCTCACTTTCTGTCTCTCCAGCAAGTGCATGTGCATGCCCCTATAGCAAAAGTCTCTCAAAAATCAATCAATCGATAAAGTGATATGACATCTTAACAATAGAGCCTTTTTTGGTTCATGGAAATTTTAATTAGAAATTTAGATGCTGAGGCAATTCTCTTTGGGAGGATATTTTAGGACAGTCAACAAAATAAAACTACCACCTTACTTCCTGACTGACAAATTTTGCATAAAGTTCTTGCTCACATTTTACAAAAGAACTGTCCAGAAAGTCTTACTAACATACAATTTGCATCGGAAGACACCAGTCACCAATGTACCCCTTGGATAGATAATACCAGCTCCTCTTAGTGTTTGACATCTGTCTTTCAATTTCAACAGAGTGCTGTGATCCCCAGCCCAGTGCCTCATTCAGAGTAGATGCCCAAAACTAAGTGTCAAGTTGTTAAGAGACACACTTTACTACCTTTGGAAACAAAAGGGAAATTTCAGTAGAAATTTGGAAAGTTCAGAGAATTAGAAAGAAAATTTAAAATCATTTTTATGGCTCTTGTTCCAAGTGCCTTTAAAGATGTTCTGCAGAGTCTCCCAAATTTTCTATTAAAAACATTTTTCAATAGCAAAGACACTGAAAATCCTATAGTTTTTTTGGTTTTTATTTTGTTTTGTTTTGTTGTTTTGTTTCCGGAGGGTGAGTACATTTGCCAGAGAGAGAGAGAGAGTGAGTGGGTGAGCAACCCCACAATGGGTGCAGTTGTGCCACAATCCGTTTTCCTCCATTCCTGTTCCCCATCAGTACTTTCAGCAAGCATGCACTGTGTCCAATGTGTTTTTCAAATCATCAGAGCTGGTATTCAAACCGTGGTTGCTATAGGGCTGGTCCATGCTGATTCTTTCTTAAGGCTCTATAGGAATCCTGTAGACATGAGCCCATAAATGACCCTTTTTTTTTTTTTTTTTTTGCAGCGTTTCTGCTGACTTTCCCGTGCAAAGGGACAGATCTTCAGTATTTTAGAAGGAAGCAGCTGTAGACCCAGTTTTAAAACTAAAGCAGTGGAGGTGTAAATGGCTAACTACCACACAGGTGATCCACCACAACAGGACTGCACAGAATCCTAGCTCTGGGTGTCCTAATCCTCAGATTAGGCCTTAGTCCATATGTTTAGTTTGTTTTCCTCCTCAACTCCTGTACCATCACCATTTTTCACCATGGCTGGGTTCTTTCTGTCACCCTGAAGGTACACAGGAGGGGCTGGTACACCCTCTGGATTTGAGGGTAGAAGAGGAAGGGGTCATGGCAAAGTGGTCAAGCCTGAGGCCAGACTATAGCATTTGATTACTGTGTGGCTGCAGTTATAAAAGGTTATCTCAAACTTTCATCCATAATATTTTTATATTTTTACTTTGTGAGTGTGTGTTGTTTTGGGATAAAGATAAAGCCTAAGAATTAGTCTTTTAGCCCCATATTTGTACCCTTTCGAAGTCCATCAGTATGGGAAAAAGACTGATCCAAAGTGCAAAGAAATCTCTGCACATACAATTTTTTAAAAAGGACAGTGCCCCACAGAGTGTGAAGCTCACACCCATCACCCAAACCAGCAGACACACAGGCCATGAGCCCTTCTGTGCCAAACTCACAATACAACAAATATTCTTGAATCTTGTTCAACAGATACACTCCATTCCATCTAGTGAAGAATTAAGGTATAAGGTGCTCTAGGTGGTTGGAATTAGAAGGTGGCAGACAGAACTGGCTGGTGGAGGATTACAGTTATTCCCCACTCTCCTCTAAATGCACATGCATATATAAATACTAGTTATCAAGGGAGGAGGAGGAAGAGGGAGAACGAGAAGGGCAGCCTGAGATAAGCATTCTTAACAGGCTTTTGCTGTCATGATCCTCCTGCTGCAGCCTCCCTACCTAGAATTACAGGTATATAACCAGTTGTCCCAGGTTTAAGCGGTTGGTGTGCCACTATGGCTGAGCCTACAGGTGATGAATGTTTAGGGGATTAAAATTTGATACCTTTTTATAAAATGGTATCAAAATATTATTATTATTCTTTCCTTAGTATTCAGAAGTGCTTCAGGGATTATTACAGCTTTAAGAAGGATAGCTCAATAATCTATTCTCATTTGAAAGAAAGGCAAAAAAAAAAAACCTCACAGCAAATCAATCACCAACGGAACAACTTTGCATGTGTGTGTAACACAGACTTCAGGAATTTCTCTTAAAACTTCCCTTATTTCAGGATGTTGGCTATTTGACTCCCTTCATTTCTACCCCTTGCCTCTTAATGGGCTGCTTTGGAAAGAGAGAAAACACTTCTAATGGCTCAAGTCTTCCATTTACTTGGGTTTTGGACAAATAGAAATTTGTCATAAGTCTTTAAATTCCATTAGAAACTTTAATTGTTGAACTAAGGGTGTATTCTATCTAATCCTGACAGTAACTTTGTGAGTTGGTTTAGCAGAAGCATAAACTTTCCATTTTATAGATGAGGAAATGCAAATGTTCACTCAGAGATCGGAACACTTCTGTGTAAGCTTCGCAGGAAAAATCCAAGGCTTCTGTGGAAGTCTCCCTTCTACCACAGCAAAACAAGTACTCACGTCATGACGTGGCTCTCCACTCCTGCCTCCACCAGAGCCCCATCGACAAAGAGAGGAAGTGAAGTGAAACCATACTTGTCCCAGGAGTGGCCCTCGTCAAAACTCACCCTGGGTTGGAAACAAGTACATGAAAAAGACAGCTGAAAATAAAGCCATGCTCTTTTGCAACCATTTTTCAGGTTATTAAATTTTCCTCTGTATCTCGCTTTCTGGCAGTTTGGATTATCAATAGGCATTAATCTTCAACATCTCCCCATATTATTATAAGATTTGATCAAAACTGCATTTCCTGGCCCAGGCAGAGACAGCACCAGAGCTGCAGAAATATTTCAACACATTAGAATCATAAAAACAACCCAAGCAGGAGGGCTTAGTGGATGGAGTGTCACGTTCCAAGTGCTCAGAATGGAACCTGAGGTTCAATTTACAGCACAATCAATTCAGCCCTTGGAGTTTCTGACACAGATAAATTGAATAGTGTGGGGTGTACCCTATGGGATAGGGGTGTGTGTGTCTTTCAAATCAAAACTTAAAAAAAGCAATTTCCTATTTGTTGAGAATGGGTTAGGATCATTTTCCTTCCCCATTGCCATTTTAAGGGGCTTTTAGGGGAGAATATTGAGTGACTGAGGTGCTCTGAGTATCACTGTTCCATTTTTGTCCAATGGCAATAGAAAGGTCTGGCCTTTTGTGGATCAGCACCTGCAACTCTTTAAAGTGAAGCTGCTAGTTGAAGAGACTGACAATTCTAGTGTTCACGTCCTTCCTTCTCCTCATATGATCAAGTACCTGTCTGTCCCTTAATTTGACCAGGAGAAATAGCATAAAGACCATACCCTCTGAAATGTTTTTCTGAGCACCCCTTCTTCCCCAAGACAGCTGTAGTTTCTTTATCTTCTGTGATCCTTTTCACCCTGGCTGGTTCTTAATTCTTTTTCAATTCCAAAATTTAGGACTTATAAATTCCTCTTAGATGTTCCTATAACACCCAGACGATCACTTATCACTATACTGAGTAATGACTTCTTAACTATTGTTGTATCTCTCAATTAAAGATTATAAGCTCTGGGAGTTCAAGGATTATATACTATTGAATGATCCCCTTCACAGTATATACATATCTTTATTACAATGTTTTTTACAGTATATCATACATACAGCACACA